CGATCAAAGCCTTCGATCTCCGCCGGATAAATCTCTCTCCGAGAAGCCGATTAAATCTGGCCATGTACTTGAGAAAGTTCGACTTATATGCGTACGGAACATGAGAAATTTTTATGCGATGATTTTAGTGATTCGCGAAAATAACAGGGAGGATAAGATGACTCGCTTTCTACGATTATCGCACGGTCGAAACAAAAGAAGAATCATATATTTCCACGGAAACGATTCGTTTTAAATGATGAACAAAATAAAGTCCTTTTTTACCGTACACATACATACACGATATTTACTTTGAAGCGAGATCATTCACCGTGAAACGTATATCGTGGTTGTTTTTATAAAACCTCCTATATGTGACAAAATCATAATTCTTCTCAGGAGAGATAAAAAACAAATATTATAATGATATTATAATGTTATTGCAAAAAAAAGTATTCAATATGTAATTTTTTCTTGAAAATGATTCCACAATTTCATCATATAGAACAAATTTTATAAAAATAACGATAACGGGTAGTAAAAATTATATTTTTGTTAGTATAAGCCAGCGTATTTAAGAGACATAAAGATACATTAAGCAGAATAATCAATTAAACAAAATAATGTAAGAATATATCCGTAAAAATATTCTGCCTATTTATGGTAAAAATGGATATACAACCTTTGTTTAGCTCTTAGAAAGTTAATTAGGATCAACGTAGTATTGAACGTACTAGTAATTACGACCGATCAAACTCAGACGTCGCGATAAAAATGTTTGCTGACGTCTGAATCTGGATACATTTAATTACTTGTTAAAGGATATCCGCATGTCTTCCAGATTAATTTGTACTGCAGTAATAATGCGAAAATTCCAAAGTAAATGTGTTACACAAGTATAAATGGAAAATCCGTTATGATAATATAAAATTAATTTTAAAATCCGGTATTTTACATGCAAACTCCCAATATCGAATATCTTCTACAAACCAGCATAAGCGCTATAGGAGAAAAGAAACGCGTGCCATATATTAATTTTGCAACTATAATACCTCTCTGTGGTATTATAAGAAATTCTAAATAATCCTTGTGTTCCGAAAAAAATACTCCCATTCCTTTTGCTACTCTATAATCGAACAAAACCGATATTCTTTGCAACGATATGTTTTTTAACAAGCCCGAGTTCTTCCGCTCTAAATTCCAAATCCTATGGAATATCTATGGATTTTCGTGGACGATCGATTCCAGTCTGCTTTTGTCTCCGATGAGACAAAAGCTTTTTCTCTTGGACGATCCCGCACGTGCGATGTATCGATCGCACATCGCGGCAGCATCCACCCGGATTATAACGACACAACGGCATTTAATACGAAGAGAGTTATAAGCGGCTGATTTATCATTGTCACGGCCGTTACTCCCTCATGCGAGCAGGTTACAATCGGCGGATCTGTCGCAATTCGAGCACGGCAATGCAGCGAAACCGGTGATCGGCCGCCTCCGCCGCACCTGCGTCCGCTCTCGGTGCAAGTGGTTATATTTGTAGAGTATTCGTATATACACTCTTCTTTCCTTGCGATCTCGTGCAGGCCAAGTATGTACGCGGAAAAGAAACGACTTGCACTCGGCCGACTGCCAGATCGCTATATTTATCACAACGTGCCGATTACAGCTGTAAAAAGTTCTGTGGGAACAGAAAGCACGGATCGTAGTATCTATCAATCACCGGAATCATTAAGATCCTTCCACACGAATGCGCTCTCTCATTTCTATCGCGAATAAAATAAATTTTTTAAATGCTACGTAAACTTATGATAAAGCTCGTTCTTTTTGTATATAAAAGTGTTGGTTATATAACTCGCGCGATATCAATTTATTTATATATTTATATATTTATCGATTAAAGATAATAATTATAGCTGTAATAAAAGTGAGAAAATAACGTGGAGAGTCCTCTAGGTGACTTTTAAGTGAACATGTTTGGTTTAGACGTATGTAACATAGAAATGATGGCGCGATGAGTCGGATGGAAAAATTTTTAATTTTTTAAATTTGCATAAATAATTTTTTATTAAATATGTATTTAAAAAAATTTTTTAGTATAAGAAATTTTAGGTGTGTTAAAATATTTTAGATCTTAGCTTATATGTTAGATTTTAATTAATATTTCTTAGAATGTTCTTAAAAAAAACAATTTCTTTTTATCAATATTTTAAGAACTTCTAGAAGACGTAGATTTTAAAATCTAAGTTGAGATTTTCAGACACATTTTAAAAAACTTAACGAGTCGTGACAAAAAAAAAAAGAGTCAGAGGAAAGAGAGAGAAAAAAGAAATAAAAGGGGAAAGAGAATCATAGCTTGACGTCATAATTTTCATGCGACCACCGATCGATGCGTTCAGGTGAAATGTGATTTAATTGGCGGACGGAAAATAATCGCGCAAAGTGGATCACCGCGATTGTCTAGGCGAAATAATAATAACGATATTCTCGTCCGTCGTCCACGTAACGGCCGTGACGTAAGCAGATATCGGGCATAAATGGTGACGAGCTTGGAAATATAGGATGACCGCGAGGCGGTGATAACCCAAATCGTCCTGTAATAGCGTTCAATTATTTATCTGCCGTTGCTCGATTCACCGCAAATGGCACAGAAAGAACAAATCATAATTATTGGCAATAAAATTTAGCGAGAGCAAGATATTCCTCATCATTTTTAAATAAATGTCGAATAATACTCCTGATAAAAATCGATGTTCGAATATTTTATTTAAATCTCGAGCGAAATAGATGAATGAGCTTATATGATGTGTCATCGTCCCGAGAAATATTTTTAAAATATTATTAAAATAAAATCAAAGCGATAATATTGATAAAAGACGATCTAATAATTAATATTAATAAAAACGGTCGTAAAAAAACTGTCTAACATGAATGATGCACGATAATCATTTTTTATAAGATCAAACTAAAACGCGCGCAACACATCATTACAAATCAAAATTAATTTCAATAAATGTTCGCTTTTGCAATCAAAAATTAAATAGAATATAAGACTGTGCAACCTAAATACCGTGCAATGCTCTGTAAATATTTTAATAATTTAGTATTATATTTATATGTGTATATGTGACAAAATACTTTAATCGTATCACACTTAATTGCATATTAATTTGTTTGCACGTGTTAGAAAAGATAGTTAAACTCTTTAACCCGATTACCCTTGAGCAATTTTTATAATTTTAAAAGTAAATCGATTTATTAGAAGAATAAAATAAAATTAAAATTAGAGATTTAACTATTTATATCGACGTATAAAGATGAATTGTAAATTTCATGAAATATTTTGATATATTGATATCTAAGAATGAGATCTTCCCATTTTTATCGGATTCGCAACTTTAATAACGTCTTGCAGTTTCATGATACGTGCGCTATTATATGTGCGAGCGGTCTATTTTATCTAAAATCCTTCATTAATAATTTCCAATATTTTTTGGTCGTTAATTATTATCAATCAAGTCAGGCTATAAAACATAAAATCGGTATTCAAAGAGAATCTATAATATAGAGCATGGAATATCGACGTAGGAGAAAACGCTAAAGCCAGCTACATTTGTATTAATAAAATCAATAAAAAATTATTAATAAAAATTGCAATTTCGTCGATGATCGCGATTTAGCACCCTTAGCGCAGCCAACCACCACCGTCATCATCACCATCATCACCGTCACCATCACCATAACCACCATTAGCAGTGAGCAGCTTATGGATATAATCCGCTCGCGATCTTGCATCCCGTTTATCTGACTTACACTTGTTCCAATGATCGTGACGTTGCGCCGCGTGGTGCTCGAGATTCCGATGATGGTCGTGATTGTTGTTGGTGTCCGCGGCGATGGTGACCTGGTGGTACGGCGTGGCGGTGGTCAGATGGATCGGCGCCGCCGCCGATCGCTCTTGTTGCTCGACGCCCAGATGCCGGGCGACGGCGATGGCGCCGCGATGCTGCTGATGCTGATGATGATGATGATGATGATGGTGGTGATGCGCCGCGACGCCGACGGCGGCGGCGGTCGCTTCCGTGTTGCCCGTGCTGTCCTCGACGGTGGTAAGCATCGCGCTTCGTTCAATCGCGACGGCTGCTCATCGGGTGACCGCCGATCGCGATTGACGTGGCATCACGCGCGATTCGCACGGCGTGGATCGCGATCGTAAAATGGTTCGAAGATTCCGAGATGACACGCGCGTACACGCGATCTATAGATCCGCGAGAATCTCTCGAGAGGTTGCAACGAGATCCTCGAGCAAAGAGATTCGAATGAGTACCAATACACTGGACCACGAATTGCTCGCTCCGATCGGCGTGGACATCGAAGATCTAGACTTACCTAGATCCTAGACGATGGATCTGATATTTGGCGCCGAATATATATGAATGATTCGAAAAGTCTGTTCGATCCTTACCGTCGATCGATGAGATCGCGCAAAAATAAAATCGGAATGTTTCACACAGTCCACACGCCGACCGATTGTTACAAATCGTGTCGCGCTCGGAGAAAATGCAAAAAGCTGACATTCAATATCGGTACATCCCTTTAATGAAGCATGCGCGCCGCGCCGTCTGACGGGTGGACGGCAGGAGGGAAGGAAGAAGAGCGAAGTAGAAACAGCGATAAATGGTCAGACTTGCGATAAAACACAGTCGAAAATCCTTATGCGAATGCCACGAATTGATTGAATGCATACTTTCTCGACTGTTTCATCATTAATAATTAAGAAAAATGTATATAAGAAAAAGGAAAGAAACAGGAAGAAAGAAGAATGGAGGAAGAAAGATAAAATGGAGCAGACAAAATTAGGTCAAAAGAGAAGAGGACCCCCTGCCGTCAAATCGGTGGAGAACGTGCCCGCTCCGCGATCCTTGGCACACACACAACACACAGGAGCAGAGCGACAGTCTCCTCCCGCGCAACAACGGAATGAACGAATATGAGACCAGCACACGTGATGTATCACCGACCTGCGTGCGTCGTCGTAGGGCAAGAAAAGTCCTTCCTGATGATGTTGTCGGAGGTCAGCACCCCACCGAGGAGCCCGAACACTTCCGCTCTGGGCACTCGCATGCAGAATCCAGATACTTCGCCGCTTATCGCGTTGTCGTGCCGGATGACATCGTTGCTCTTCCTGTTGAAACTGATCCTCGAATGCTGCTGTTTGCTCCTGTGCGAAGAAGGCCGGTAATAATTGCGATTACCATTCAGCACTGATAGTCGATTGACAGATCGTCACACCGAAGCACCGACCGCGGTGATCGACACGCGGAGACGCGACGAGATCGCACAGGTGTCCCGCCGTCGCGAAGGTAGAAACCACCCTCGAGCGTGCAATTTGGTACGATCTTAACGAGCGAAATGAATTGACAGTATGCTCAGCGTCGATCGTAGCCGAGCGAATGTCGAGACGGAGAGGGAAAAATCGAATAAGAGACAGGTGAAAGAGCCTTCGTGAGAGTGAAACCTTCAGTTACCCTGGAGAGCGGTACACTTGCACGGGTGGCCGGCCGCCGCGTAACTGAGTCCGGAACGCGCGCGTTCCTCCGCTATATTAAAACCGTACCGTGTGTAGCGGCGGCGACGGTGGCTGCGATCGCGGAGCGGAGAGGAGCGAAGAACGGAAGGCAAGGCGCGGCGACGGGAGGCGAACGGCGCTAACGATGACGTCATCTCGGACGTCATACCCGGGACGCGCATAGAGCAGCAACCGGCGGCGGATCGATGGACCAGACCTGAGTGTGAGCGCACCTATTGGCCCACGCGGCCCGATGATGCCGTTACGGTGACGTCAACACACCACCCACCGGCCGCCTGACACTATATCCCTTCTCTCCTCTTCCTCCCTTCCATCACCCTCTCAACTTCCTCACACAACGCCACTTCTTTCCTTTTCCGCCCCCATACCCTCCGGCACTCACCGTTTCAACCCCACGCAAACCTCGAGGCAACGGCGGCACGCGAATCCGATATCTCTTGATATGAAGAGAGACGGAAAACGAGTGAGGGGGAGAAGAACAGAAAGAGAAAGAGACACGGACTTAAATTAGTTCGGGATTCTCGTTTCTTCTGCTTCCGCGTATTCTTTTGATGTTTGCAAATAGTCACGGTTCTCATGAACGTGACATAATTATGTTACACGATTGCGACGTTATTTCTTTTATATGCTATTGTCCGATAGACTTTATATGCTACAATTGAATGAAATATGTATGAATGTCGTATGATTATTATATGATATTATGATGTTACGTAAAATCTCTGTGATATATTACGATATTATATTAAAACCTTTTGCAACAAAGAGATTTTTGTTTTGTTCCCCGCTCGTTCTCTTTCAATAACATTTTCTTTCAGATATTTATGTGAATTTTTTTATTGTGATACGCCGTAAATCTTTTCAAGAATTTCTTTCCATTAAATTTTTATTTTAGGAGTTAACAATTTATTTATTTAATCATCACATGCGATATAAAAAATCTCTCAAATTTCAATTCAATTTGCTAGTAAAATTGATAAGCTAAATATTATCTATAATTAAATGTGAAATTAATACCCTCCTTGGTAGCCATGAAATGACCAAGAAATGAGAGATTATTCACTTCGTCAACGATTATGTAATGCGTGCCATGTGTTAACGAACGCATTATCATCTGTGTTATTCATTGTCATAAATAATACCAAGATCAATATGACGGAGCGAACTTATATCGCTTATAGCCGGTTTTGTATATCGATGAGAAGAGACTACGATAGCCATTATTCGGTTACCCGTGCATGCAGCGATGCAACGGAATGCATTGATGGCGCGCAGACCTGTTGTCGTTATTAATCTACGAACTAGAAATGCGCAATCCATCTGACCTCGTAATGTAATCAGACGTAATAGTTGACAATTATCGTGTAATAATGCGATAGTAATTCACTATTTTGTCTGCAATGATCTAAGAGCCCATTGGTAATTATCGTAAATCTAGGAAATTTCTAATGGCAATTAATTCCCTTTATGAGTTGCATGACGTTTATCTTCGTGACGTAACGAATGAAGGTACTTTGACTTATAAGAATCGTAGACTTTCATTTCGTCCTTTTAATTCTTGGAAATGTAGAAACTTTTACGTAATAAGAAAATTAAATTACAGAACGAGCGAATTTATTGGGTTATATTTTGCTTTTTTTCTTTTCATAACATTTCAATCTCTACAAAGTTTTGAAAACGGTCAACCTGGCAAAGAACGCTAAATTAGAATTATAATAAAATATCGAATACACTCACCATAACAGAAATTGTGCTCCAAGTAAAAATCGAATGATTTTAATAGTTGCCCCGTTTATATGAATCCGTCATGAATACCGAGCCAAGACAATTAAAAGTTTCTAAAGCATTGCAATAAAGCTATCGCAATGAGAATGCTCCTCGTGTTGTGGCGTTTGAGTTCTTGTCTCACTGTTCTAGATTGCCTTTCGAGAACCCACTCGCGTAGACTCGATCATTCGTAACAAGCGTTTTAATACGTCATCAATTTATCCGCGGCGTCACTCGAGGGTGAAACGACGACGTCATCGTTTTCTCCCACTGCGACTCACTATGACGATGCCTACGCCACTCTTATCGCTTCTGCGCGTAGGTCAGCTACAACAAGGAGGGGTTGTTACTGAGAAAGGGAAAAAGAGAGAGACGGAATGAATAAAGAGAGAAAGAGAGAAAGAGAGATAGACAAAGAGGGATCGCGACGCATGTCGCTTTTCCGTCGTCGATTTCCACCACCGCCATACGGCACCTCCATTCATGCATTACCCGATGCACCCCGCGCGTCTATCTAGCCCCTTCGCATCCCCCCGCGCCCCATACCTCCCTTCCGCCCCTTTTGCACGCGGTGCACGCGTGGCAGAGCGGAGGCGTAAGCACGAGTCGATGTCGCCCCGGTTTAATCAGCCACAAGACGAGCACTTCGACATGTGACGAAACACTGAAAACTCGTGGCCGGCTTCTGTGATATCATCGGCGTGCCATCACCTGTATGAAGTGACCGCTGATCCGGAAGAACGACGATTGAGGGGTAAGGTCGACTTCGATCCGATCACGATAGGGTGCGAATCGGCGATACGCTCCGTTCTCGTTTGGAGAATGTTTGCCTCTAAACCCGAGCGCACTGAATCGAAGTGAGCATTAAAACCGCTCGTCTTGGAGCGCGTCTTGTCTAAGAACAGCCATTTTGCTGCCATCTTAATAAATATTTATGCGATCTTTCAGTTACTTCAGTTATAAAAGTTTAATTATATGTCTTAATTTTTAATTACGGTCTGAGAATTAAAATTCAATGTTTTGCAAAATAATTTGTCGAAGCATAGAAATCTCTATAGATGTACATATATACAAGACAAATATAAATGCATAGATAAATTTATTATACTTTATACCCCATAACGGATTGTGAAAGTGTAATCGACAATGCAAAGCAAGGAACAACACACCGTAACAAGAATCATCTGACATTCACGATAGTACAACAAGCGCAATTATCGCAATTGATTGTGTCGTGAGAGGCACATAAATGTCGGTAGTAAGATAAAGGCGGATAAAGTTATTTGCCAACGGCGGAATCGCTTTGATTTCGACAAGAAAAGCGTTCGAAGATGAACGATACGCGTATTCCCGGGCTAAAAGCGCGTAGATAATATACATATTCTTTTCATAATCGGCTTCCTATCGGCAAACGGACGTATACGATAATACGGACATGCCTGAATAACTTGAGCTTCGACAATCGGCTGTTGTCGACAAATCACAATAATTCAACGATAGAATTTATATAATTGAAATTATCCGCTCTTTACTAACGTTATTCGTTTTATGAATCGTGCATCGCTCGTTACAATCGCAACATTCATTATGCCAGTAGATCTTTCTGATGTTAATGACAAAGCGTGCAGAACGTGCAATGTTCTGGCGCCACTTTGACTAATTAGCAAGCTTGAGTAATTAACAATCGCGGTAGAGAAATAGAAAAAGAGGTAATGGCTTCGAAATAAATTATCAAGTTTTCGTGTTGCACCTGAGGTAATCAATTTTTAAGACTACCGTTAAGATATGAAAGTTGGTAGTAATGTGTGTTTTTGCACTATTACGTCATTTATAATTTTTTCGTCACTAAATTGACCTCATACGCGAGAGAAATGGAGAGCACACGTGCTAAAATATTTCGAGCCTCGGAAGGTTAAAAGTATTCGTCTGTATCTAAAAAGCAAAAATAGCTAGAGTCGAAAATTAATTTATAATATGTCGCGTTTCATATAAATTATTTATTTAATATCTACAAGCATCGGAAAATAAAACCGATTACCATAACGATCGAAGGAAATAATAAATTTCAAAACCATTACCATAGAAATTATTTTCGATTTCTACTTGTAAATTACGATAGAATTCCATATTAATGAACCTATAAATCTGCAGAATAGTAAATATTCTGCAGTACAGCAGAAATTATTTTTATGCTTCGTTTAAAAATGAAATTCAGCTATATGTCTGTTCGTATGCCAAGTATAACTTGGTGTGTGTGTATCATAGATTTATACCTCATTACAATACGCATTGTGATGAGATTATATTACATGATTTTTTCCTCAAATATAAAATTATAAAATTTGCATTTAAATAAAAAAAAAAAAACATTATATAATCAGTAATATTTATTATTTTATGAGATAAAGATTAGTTAAAATTAACTGAAAAATAAAATTTTGCATTTGATTATTTATATTCTTGAAGATTAATATGTAAAATCCTATTTTAACAATGTTAAAGAACTCCGTATCTATAGATATCTCGGCATTAAAACAAGAGCGCTACTTTTTTATACATTGATGTCTAGATATCTGTTAAAAAAATACTTGGGACATTCTCTGTATATCTATATTTATACAAATAATGTCACTCAAAAATGTATTACTGAGTTGCTTGTAAGATTAAAGCGAAAACGTGACAGAATGTCTCGCAATGACTTTAGAAAAAGTATTCATGCATCAAAGATCTAATTTTTTTGACATATTTATTTGTTTGCATTTATGCAATTGATCGAAATTGAAAAATGTCGAAAAGATCTTCCAGATCGGCCGAGGATGGCTGTTCTCTGGAAACCGTCATTCATTTCGCGCGGCTAACTGCATGGATCTCTTTTCCGGCGAATAATTTGTTTTTATTACTCGACTCGGGGCCGGTGTGAACTGTTTAATGATTTTTTAATAAACTTCCGGGCACTTTGTGCCGTGTCCTGAAGATCGTTGTACCGTGTACGCACTGGAACCAACGCGGCGCATAATCTTTTATTACACTGTGTGATATGACCTTTCCTTCGTGAGCTAGTAAAATGCGCTCTATCAGTATATATAAAAGGACGAGCGCGATGATGCCAGTGAACCTCCTCTACCCGCGTACTACCCTCGTATTCGCGCTCCTTCTCTCTTTTTCTCTCTTT